ATTTCATTGTGTAGATGTACCATAGTTTTCTAATACACTCATCTACTGATGGGCACTTAGGCTGTTTCCAAATCTTAGCTATGGTGAATTGTGCTGCTATGAACATAGGGGTGCATATATCCTTTCTGATTGGTGTTTCTGGCTTCTTGGGATATAGTCCTAGAAGTGGGATCACTGGATCAAATGGGAGTTCCAACATGTTTAGGTTTTTGAGGAAACTTCATACTGTTCCCAGTGGCTGCACCAGTCTGCATTCCTACCAGCAGTGCATGAGGGTTTATTTTTCTCCGCATCCTTGCCAGCAGTTGTCATTTGTTAATTTGTTGATGATAGCCATTCTGACAGGTCTGAGATGGTACTGCATTGTCGTTTTGATTTGCATCTCTCAGATAATTAGTGACTTTGAGCATGTTTTCATATGTCTCTTGGCCTTCCTTCTGTCTTCTTTCGGAAACTATCTATTTAGGTCTGTTGCCCATGTTTTGAATGGGTTGTTTATCTTCCTTTTGTTAACTTGTATGAGTTCCCTCTAAATGTTGAAAATTAAACTCTTACCAGAGATAACATTGGCAAATATGTTCTCCCATTCAGTGGGCTTTCTTGTTGTTTTGTTGATGGTTTCTTTCGCTTTGCAGAAGCTTTTTAGTTTGATATAGTCCCATTTGTTTATTTTCTCTTTAGTTTCCAATGTCCTAGGAGCTGTATCAGTGAAGACATTGCTTCGGCATATCTCTGAGATTTTGCTGCCTGTGGATTCCTCTAGTACTTTTATGGTTTCTTGTCTTATGTTTAAGTCCTTTATCCATTTTGAGTTTATTATTGTGTATGGTGTAAGTTGCTGGTCTAGTTTCATTTTTTTGCATGTATCTGTCCAATTTTCCCGACACTATTTATTGAAGAGACTGTCTTGACTCCATTGTAGGTTCATGCTTTCTTTGTCAAATATTAATTGAGCGTAGTGGTTTGGGTCAATTTCTGGGTTCTCTATTCTATTCCATTGATCTAAATGTCTGTTCTTGAGCCAATACCAAGCTGTTTTGAGAACAGTGGCTTTGTAATACAGCTTGATATCTGGTATTGAGATCCCTCCTACTTTGTTCTTTCTCAGGATCGCTGCAGCTATTTCTGGTCTTTTTTTATTCCAGATGAATTTTTGGAACGTTTGTTCTAGGTCTGTGAAATATGCCATTGGTATTTTAATGGGAAGTGCATTAAGTCTATAGATTGCTTTGGGTAGTATGAACATCTTGATGATGTTGATGCTACCAATCCATGAGCACAGTATGTTCTTCCATCTGTTTATGTTTTCCTCTATCTCTTTTTTTCAGTGTCCTGTAGTTTTCCAAATATAGGTCTTTTACCTCCTTAGTTAAGTTTATTCCTAGGTATCTTTATTTTTTTGGTGCAATGGTCAATCGGATTTTTTAGTCCCTTTTTCTGTAAGTTCGCTATTGGTGTATAGAAATGCCATAGATTTCTTGGTGTTAATTTTGTATACTGCTACATTGCCAAATTCATTTATTAAGTCTAATCATTTTTTGATGGAGTCTTTAGGATTTTCTATGTACAGTATCATGTCATCTACAAATAAGGACAGTTTTATTTTTTCTTTTCTAATTTGGATGCCTTTTATTCCTTCTTCTTGTGTGATTGCAATGGCTAGTACTTCCAATACTATGTCAAGCAGGAGTGGTGAGAGTGTGCATCCTTGTCTGGTTCCTGTTCTTAGGGAAAAATGGTTTTAGTTTTTGCCTGTTGAGTATGACGTTGGCTGTGGGTTTGTTATATGTGGCTTTTATTATGTTGAGGTATGATCCTTCTATTCCCACCTTACTGAGAATTTTTATCAAGAAAGGGTGTTGGATTTTGTCAAATGCTTTTTCTGCATTAATTGATATGACTATGTGATTTTTATGTCTCAATTTGTTTATGTGATGTATCACGTTTATTGATTTGTGAATGTTGTACCATCCTTGCATCCCCGGGATAAATCCTACTTGGTCATGGTGTATGACCTTTCTGATGTACTGCTGGGTCAGATTTACTAGGATTTTGTTGAGGATTTGGGCATCTATGTTCATGAAGGGTATTGGCCTGTAATTATCTTTCATTGTGTTATCTTTATCTGGTTTTGGTATTAGGGGGATGCTGGCTTCAAAGAATGAGCTTGGAAGTGTTCCTTCCTCTTGAATTTTTTGGAATAGTCTGAGGAGGATAGGTTTTAGTTCTTCCTTGAATGTTTGTTAAATCTCCCATGTGGAAGCCGTCTGGCCCCAGGCTTTTGTTTGCTGGAAGCTTTTTGATGACTGCTTCAATTTCTTCCATAGTTATTGGCCTATTGTGATTTTTAGATTCTTCCTGATTGAGTATTGGAATGTTGTAATTTTCTAGGAATATGTCCATTTCCTCTAGGTTGTCTAGTTTGTTGGAATAGAGTTGTTTATAGTATTTTTTAGCAATCCTTTGTATTTCTGTGGGGTCTGATGTAATTTTGCCTCTTTCATTTCTGATTTTGTTTATTTGGATCCTCTCTTTGCTTCTTAGTGAGCCTGGCTAGAGGCTCATCAATCTTGATTATCCTTTCAAAGAACCAGCTCTTGCTTTCATTGATCTTTTGTATTGTTTTTTTTTGGCTTCCATGTCATTTATTTCTGCTCTGATCTTTATTATCTCCTTCCGTCTGCTCACTCTGGGCTTTTTTTCTTGCTCTTTTTCTAATTCTTTAAGTTTTAGAGTAAATGATTTACTTCCATTTTATCTTGTTTTTTGAGGTAGGCCTGTAGAGCTATAAACTTCCCTCTCAGGATGACTTTAATTGTTTCTCGTAGATTTTGGATTGTTGTGTTTTCATTGTCATTAGTTCCCAGGATGTTTTTAATTTCTTCTTTGATCTCTTTCATAACCCAATCATTGTTTAATAGCATGCTATTCAGCTTCCAAGTGTTTGAATTTTTTGGATTGTTTTTATTGTAGTTTATTTCTAATATTATGCCAAGCATCTGAGAAGATGCCTGATATGATTTCAATCTTCTTGAATTTGGGGAAACTTTGCTTGTGACCCAATATGTGGTCTAATTTTTAAAATGTTTCATGTGCACTTGAGAGGAATGTATATTCCGTGGATTTGGGGTGAAATGCTCTGAAGATGTCAATTAAGTCCATCTGATCTAGTGAGTCATTTAGAATTGCTGTTTTTTTGCTGAATTTTTGTCTAGAGGATTTATCCAGTGATGTCAGTGGTGTATTAAAGTCCCCTACTATGATTGTATTATTGTCAACCTCTCCCTTGATATCTTCCAAGAGTTTTTTTTTATGTATTTGGTGCTCCTACATTGGGTGCATATATTTATATCAGGGTTATATCCTCTTGTTGTATCGTTCCCTTTAGTATTATGAAGTGACCTTCCTTATCTCTTGTTATGGCCTTCTTTGAGGTCTATTTTGTCAGATATAAATATTGCTACCCTGGCTTTTTTTTTTTTTTCATTTCTAATTGCCTGAAATATATTTTTCCATCCCTTCACTTTCAGTCTGTGTGAATCCCTTGTTCTGAGGTGGGTCTCATGTAGACAGCATATATATAGGTCATGTTTTTTTATCCATTCAGCTGCTCGATGTATTTTGATTGGAGCATTTAGCTCGTTTATGTTTATAGTTATTGATAGATAATTGTTTGTAGCCATTTTTATTTTTTGTGCCTGTGTTCCTTCCCTTTTTATTTCTTCTTTTTACACCAGTCCCGTTAGCATTTCTTGCATTGCTGGCTTGGTAGTGATAAACTCCCTTAGCCTTTTATTGTATGTGAGGATTCTTATTTCTCCTTCAATTTTGAATGATAGCCTCGCTGGATAGAGTATTCTTGGATTCAGTCCCTTTCTTTGCATCACTTGGTAAATTTTCTTCCACTCTTTTCTGGCCTGATGTGTTTCTGTTTGGAAATCTTTTGATAATCTAATGGGAGATCCCTTGTACATAACTTTCTGTTTCTTGCAGCTTTTAAGATTCTCTCTTTGTCCTGAACATTTGCCGTCGTAATTATGATGTGTCTTGGTGTGGGTCTTTTTGGGTTCATCTTGTTTGGGACTCTCTGTGCTTTTATGACTTTTTTCTTCTCCACATCAGGGAAGTTTTCTGACATTATTTCTTCAAATGGGTTTTCTAACCTTTGTTCCTCTTCCTGTTGTTCTGGCATCCCTATTATTCGTATGTTGCTTTATTTTATGTTGCCCCATAGCTGCCTTACGCCCTCCTCCTGTCTTTTAATTTTTTTTTCCAATTTCAGTTCAGTTTGGGTGTGTTTTGTTTCCCTGTCTTCTAATTCGCTAATTTGGTCCTCCACTTCTTCTAATCTACTGTTGAAACATTCCATGGTGTTCTTTATTGCAGCTATATCACTCTTTATTTCTTCTTGATCTTACATAAGTTATTGATTTTTTTTCATCCATTCTGTTTATGAACTGTATAACCCTTATTCTGAATTTTTTCTGACATATTGCATGCCTCTGTTCCACTTAGCTGCTTATCTGGTGATTTCCCCTTTTCATTCCTTTGGGGGTTTCTTTGTCTACCCATTTTTTATCTCACCAACAAATCTGGATGTTGATTCATGCAGGGGCTGTTCCTTGGGTGGCAGTGGATCCTCGGGTTTGCAGTTGCTCATCGGGCAATCGTGGCAGCAGCTGCTCCTCAGTTGGCAGTGACTCCTTTAGTGGGTGCTGTTCACAGCAGTGGTGGCTCCTCTGGCAGGTGGGGGAGGGCTGCTCACACAGCTGCTGCTCCTCGGACTGGGGTGGGCTGCTCAAGAGCTGCTCCTTCTCTGATGGGGGCAGGCTGCGCACGGCTGCTGGTCCTTGGACAGTGGCGGGCTGCCCGCGTGGCTGCTGCTCCTCAGACAGGGGTGGACTTCTCACATAGCTGCTACTCCTTTCATGGTGGCTGGCTGCGCGCAGCTGCTCCTCAGATGGGGCGAAGAGTTGTTTATATATTCTGTGAAATTTAGAGGAAATTGTAATGATTCAGGTATTTATAGGTTACAGTAACAATATCTTGTTAGGAGTCCTCTTATCAGATGTCTGGATAGCCACAACTCCCTTAGCACCCAGCCGGCGGGAGGCTCCCTGGCACCCAGCAACCGCTGCACACTATGCGCGAGGCCAGAGGGTAAATGCTCGCTAGCCAGGAATAGCCTCACACTCTGTGCCAGGACTGGCTTTCTTGCTGTAGCCACTGTTTGTGGGAGGTGGGTGTCATAAGGACAGAAGTTGTCATGTAGAGTGTGGGAGAGAAATAATCACTTTGCAGTAGCAAATACATTCAAAAGATGAGTGGACCTGAGATTAATTGGAGGCCAAAGAGTAATTCAAACAAGATGAGACTAGGGTTGGTACATAAACACTTTCTAAACTCTCACCAGGATTTTGTTGTGACCCTCAGTGTGGCCTGGCTGTGAGGAGTTGAAGTCCATCTTGTGGATTAGCTTAGAGGCTTGAGTGGTCATCTGTGAGACTCACTGTGCATGCTGCAGAGGGCCATCAGGGTTGGGACTTGAGTGAAGGTTAAGTGAGGGATGTTGGCTGTGACTAGTGAAGGGACATCAAGTGCAGCATCACAAGAGTTTAGCTATGGATTTCTGAGATCTGATTGTTGTTCTTAATAGTTGAGGTTGAAGGGGAAAAAAAGTCATGGACAGAAGCCTACATAGCAAGACACAAGACTGCCTCTATGAGTGTGGACGATCAGAATCTGGGCAGTACTTGATCCTGATTCAATTTGACAACCCTCCTCTGGACCACACAAGCTGAGTAATAAGTAAAAGGCCAGGAGATGAGTATGGGGGCTGGGGCTGTGATAGTGCAGGTGTAAGGGAGGTGTGGTATAAAGAGTGATGAGCACTTGGAGAGGGATTATGAATTCATGGCAATAGGTCCCTGACATTGACATGAGAGTGAATGGAGGGTGATTCTATTTATGGTGGTCCCAGGGTGTAACCAATGTGAATTTTAGGATAATTGCCTGTAGAGAGGGGTGTTTGGGTGCTATATTCTAGGTTAAGAGCTTAGGTGCTATTTAACTAACCACCTGCCTTTTGTTGTTGGGAGTGACCCACTGGTTGATGGGAATGAGATAGCATTCATCAGTGTTACCCAGCCCTGTAAATCTCCACTGGCATGGGTAAGGAAGAAGGGTAAGAGAGAAATGGATCATGGAGGTTGTGTGAACTGTAATTTTGATTACAGGTGATTAGAAAAAAATTATCCACACCATGGAAAATTTGCATTACCTTTGATGTTGTGCCTCTGGGAAAGAAGCTGTGTGAGAGAAGTGTTGTTCAAAGAACTATGTGCAGCAGGTAGTGGAAAGCAAGGGCCTCATATCTTGGGATTGGGATCAAGCTGATGAAGTTTGATGCCATGTTTGTGTTGTCTTCGAGGAAAAATCAGAAAGACTACAAGTCTATTTCCTGAAGAGACCAGTATCAAATCACTCACACTATTTTTATCGTCAATATCCCTCTCTAACATGTTTTGAACACCCACTCTATTGATAAGAGGCAATGTGGTATACATGGGAGTTCCAGAGTTCAGGTATCTTCTATCTGTTCAACTGCCTTAATTGTTGTGGGAAGAAAAATATCAGCAGAAATATAAGAAGACAGTGGCTTTCATAGGATGTAAGCCTGGTATTTCATGTAATATGTAGAGTGAAAAGAGAAGATGGGTGTGGAGGGCGGGGAGTATGACAGACGTATAAACTTAGGAGTGAATCTGATCATGGGCTGTACTGTCTCCATTATGACAGGATATGAACTTTGAGGATGTGGCAATTGCCTTCTCTCAGGAAGAATGGGGGATCCTTGATGAGGCTCAGAGACTTCTGTACTGCGATGTGATGCTGGAAGTGTTTGCACTTGTGTCATCCATAGGTAAGACCTTCACATTCTCCCAGTGTCCTGAGGTGATGACCTCTCTTCCTTTATTCCTCATCCATAGCTTTCTCTCTCCCACAACCAGAACATGGCCTCTGCTAATTTCCCCCACTTTCCTGTCAAACATGCTGTGGCTGCCAGGGATGAGCTGGATGGGGACCTCTGAGTAAAGGACTCCAGGAACATCCCTATCACCTGTTACCTCAAAAAGTACAGGAAGTGTTAGGGAGTCAGCAGTTTTGCATTGAGCTTAATGGGTCCCAGCTTGCACTTTCTCTTCATGGGAGGCTGACAGTGTCCGCCTCCCTTCTGAACTCTTTCTTTAGGTTTGTGTTCTTTATAGCAGCTTGTGTCATGTTATGGTTTTTACATACCTGAACGATGGGCTGTTCTTGTAAGACCCTCATTCAATTGTTTGTTATATTTTCTTCCCTGAATACTATAGCAAGCTGTGTTGCTCTGGCCCAGTGCTGACTGCTCACTTCTTCGTCAGCTGTTTCTCTGCATTGGTGACTCTGCAGTATTCTGCAACATTGACGTGCACATGTGTTATGACGTGCACATATGTGCTAAGTAGTCCTCAACAACAGCTACTCCTTTATTGAATTTTACTTGGAGTAAGACGGAGCCAACATCTTGCACAGCTCTCCCCAGTCCCCAGCAGACAAGCTGTGCTGAATGTTGTTAGTTGAAGTATTAGCTGGAGATCCATATTCTACTCCATGTGGCGCTTGCCATGTTTGTGTCATATTTCTGCTGAGGCCTCCCTGTGTTGTGATCTTCATTAGCCCACAAAGTTACAAGAGCCTCTTATTAATCCTTCCTGCACATCTCTTATTTTCAGACAATTGCATGGAACCAACGTGTGATGTGTGACACACTTTTGTAACGGTCCCCCTGTCACCACATTCAACATTCATTTCCTTACCCTTTCTCACTTTTCAGGTTGTTGGCATAAAATTGATGGTGATGAGGCCTGTTCTGATCAGAGTGTATCTATACAAAGAGAGTCACAGGTCAGGGCTTCTGAGACAGCTCCAATCACCCAGAAGATCCCTCTGTGTAAGCGATGTTTCTCTGTGTTAAAAGGTATTTTGCACCTGACTGGATCTCATGTAGCATATTTTGAGCAGAAAGCATTCTGTAGTGACTCATGTGTTGTAGACTTCTGTTTCAGTGCAAACCCTCAACAGAAAAAGAGGAATGAATGTGGACAGGTGCTCTGGAAACATACTATGGACAGGGCTTCCTTTGTGAGCAGCTCCAGCCTCTACTTATCTTTGGTGCCTTCAACCATCATGGAGGATAGGGAAGACTTACAGTACAAATCAGAGTTTCCCAAGCACCACGCCACACTCAACACTGAGGAGCTACTCTGTCGCCGTGAGATTTCACAGGAATTTCACAGGAGAAAAAGTCATCACCAGTGGGGTGAATGTGAAAACGCTGCCAGCCACAACCTGAAAGTTGTTCAGTGCCCGGGTGTCTGTTCTGGAGAACTTCTTTATGAGTGTAACAAATGTAGGAAACTGTTTACACGAATCTTTAACCTCAATCGACATAAGAGAGTTCACACTGGAGAAAAGCTGTATGACTGTAGAGAATGTGGGAAGTCCTTTCATCGAATGGCTCACCTCACTGAACACCTCAGAGTTCACACTGGAGAGAAGCCATATGAGTGTACTGAATGTGGGAAGTCTTTTAGCCTAAAATCTAACCTTATTAGACACCTGAGAGTTCACAGGGGCGACAGGCGATATGAGTGCTGTGATTGTGGAAAGTCCTTTAGTGATAAGTCTTATCTCAAACAGCACCAGAGGGTTCACACTGGAGAAAAGCCGTATGAGTGTAGAGAATGTGGGATGTCCTTTCCTCGAAGGGCTCACCTCAATGTACACCTCAGAGTTCACACTGGAGAGAAGCTGTATGAGTGTAGAGAATGTGGGAAGTCCTTTCGTCAAAGTGCTTACCTCACTGAACACCTCAGAGTTCACACTGGAGAGAAGCCATATGAGTGTACTGAATGTGGAAAAACTTTTAGCATAAAATCTAACTTTATTAGACACCTGAGAGTTCACAGGGGCGACAAGCGATATGAGTGCTGTGATTGTGGGAAGACCTTCAGTGATAAGTGTAACCTCAAACAACACCACAGTGTTCACACTGGAGAAAAGCCGTATGAGTGTAGAGAATGTGGGGTGTCCTTTCGTCTAAAGGCTCAGCTCACTGCACACCTCAGAGTTCACACTGGAGAGAAGCCGTATGAGTGTACTGAGTGTGGGAAGTCTTTTAGCCAAAAATCTAGCCTTAGTAGACACCTGAGAGTTCACACTGGAGGGAAGTGTTAAATGTGCATGGAATGTTTTATTTTTCTCAGTATAACAACACTGAAGGTGACTCTTTGGGACTATTTTTCTGAATTTAAATTCATTTTAATGGAACATACACTCTGCTAGATTCGTCATAAGTTTCAGGTACAAGTGAGACTTGAAGGAGCTGCATTGCACTTGCTAACATGCATAGACCTACAACCCAAATTGATGTCACAGCAAGTATTTGTGGCTGAAGAGATTTCACCTCTAACACCTGGCTCACCTGAAGAGTGTGCATCAGTCACAACCCCTCTGTGCTCAGGGGAAATGTATTCTGTGTTTTCACTTGTGTTTGAGAAAATTATGATTACTTCAAGCTCTTGACAAGATCCTCATTCCTTCTCTCTGACTAGGGCATGCTTCTGACCCAGGGTTTGTCCAGACCACCCTTCCTCAGCTAAGAAGTGCTGCCTCTGTCAGGGACATTGCGTGTCTCACATTATGCTTTTCTGAATTGTTTTATTTTCTAATTCGCCAACCTGAAAATTCTTACTGTCCTCTGTTCTGGTTTATGATCTTTTAGTAAAGGTGTTTTTTGCTTTTGTACCTTTAATTTTGTTGGCTATATTCACTGCCTGGTATGATTTGAAAGGATAGTTGTGATCTGTCACATGCAGAGGTGAACAGATAAGGTAGGGTCCCAAGCTCTCTGCGCTTTGGAAGGCACATAATAATGACAAAGCTACTCTTTGGTCAATATTAGTTTATTTTGTATTGCTGACCAAGTCCTTTAACGAAAATCTGCATGACTTTTTGGTTCTAATTTTTTAGCCTGGTGCCTATATTATTGGTGAGGTCAGTGATCACCCAGAGGAAGAGTCCTTTGTTGTGCTTCTGTGAACAATATGAATTATATTCTCTGTTCATAGTATGTCTTACATACTGCAAAGGAGCCCTGAGCCATGATGTGTGAAATTTCATAGGCTGGTCTTATTTTTGTTGTAACACTGTGAAGTGTAACCAGTATTGGGACAAACACTGTTTTCATACTGAGTGGAAGAGACGGCAGTATATTGGATGAAAATTGCCTCTTCTAAACATTATCCACAAATGACCCAGTCCTGAAGCTTGTTTGTTCTTTTTGTAGCTGAAGTGATTGGTTGTGAAAAGAATCTCATGGTTTTGGGGATTCCCTGGGCCCCGCTATGGTGTTCACTTCAAGGTTATCACAACAGGAAAAACTCAAAGCTAGAGGAAGGATCATTGTATAATTAGTCCCAGGTTGTGTGTTTTGTGACAGTTCAGCATTCCTGATCATTCTGATGGCAGTAGTCTTCACTTCTTGACAGTATTTGCTGCCACAGAGGCAACAATGATTCTCTCAGGAAATGAGGAGAGAGATGGTGATGTCTATATAGAGTTGCCATCTTAATTTTCTAACAACAGAGGGATATCTGTGTTTTTATTTGGAGCCACATTTTAAGGCTTTAGTTAAGTACATGTATAACTGACATGCAACAAAAAGCACTTTTCTAATGTGTACTGTTTGGTAGATTGAACATACAGATTAAGCTTCAAAACAGTTACATGTGAAACAAGCTTCTCTGTTACCCATACCCATGGTGGGGCAATAGTATGCTTACAGTTATGAGTATGCAAAACCTGTAATTTATTTTCTTATTTTAAATGACTATCTATACTAATAAAACAATAATATGCTAATTAGATCAGACATCTTCCGAACATCCATCTGGACATCCTTCTGGACAAAGCCATGGTTGCGGGGGCCAAGGCAGAGTTGGTTAGGGGTGAACAGGCCAGCAGGGAAGGCAGTTAGGAGTGACCAGGCTGGCAGAGGAGGGCAATTAAGGGTGATCCGGCCAGCAGGGGAGGGCAGTTAAGGGCGGCCCAGCCGGTAGGGAAGGGCAGGTAGGGGCGACTGGGCCAGCAGGCAGAGGTGGTTAGGGGTGACCCAACCAACAGGCAGAGGCAGTTAGGGGCAATCAGGCCAGCAGGCAGAGGCAGTTAGGAGCACTGGGGGAGGGGGGGGAGCAATTAGGGGCTATCAGCTGTCAGGCAGAGGCAGTTAGGGACAATCAGGCAGGAAGCAGGTGAGTGGTTAGAATCCAGCGGTCTCAGATTGCAAGAGGGATGTCCAACTGCCAGTTTAGGCCTGATCCCTGTGGGCAAAACCTGCAGTCAGACATCCCCCAAAGGGTCCTGGACTGAAGAGAGTGCAGGCTGGAATGAGGGACCCTCTCCTCACATGCACAAATTTTGTGCACTGGGCCTCTAGTCTATATCTGTGTTTGTGTATATGTATGTGTGTGTGTGTGTATTTGTTTGTTTGTTTATTTATTTATTTATTAGGCAAAGTGTCCCCTTTGGATTTTGACCAGGAGACCAGTGTTTGATTGCTCACTATGACATGTGATGACCAGCAGGGGGTGGCACGGAAGGAAGGAAGGCCCAGCTCGGCCCTGATCACCGGCCAGGCCTAGGGATTCTACCCGTGCACAAATGTTGTCAACCAGGCCTCTAGTTTTATATATTTTAAAATGTATTTTTATTGATTTTTAGAGAGAGAAGGGCAGAGGGAGAGAAACATCAATATCCTGCCTCCTGCATGCCCACTACTGCAGATCCAGGCAGGCATGTGCCCTGATCTGGAATCAAACCAATGACCTTTCAGTGAATGTGATCATGCCCCCCAACAGTTGTGTTATTATTTATTTACAGTTGTATTATTTTCAATACTAACAACTCTAAACCTAGTTTTGCACACCTTGTATTTACCTCTTGCCCTTTTATAATCTTTCGTATTCTCTAGCCCTCCATACAGCCATTGATTTACCTTCTTACAATAGATTAGTTCATATTTTTCATAATATTATAGGCACTATATAAGGTGTATAATTTTCAACAAACAATGGCTTCCTTCTTGCCACACAGGTATTTTTAGATTCAACAGTAATGTTTATGTAAATAGTTAATTTTTTATTGCTAATAATATTGTATTCTATGGATAACCACTTTATTCATTGATCTGTCTATGGTTTCAGTTATTTCCACATTTGGGGTTTTATAAAAACTGCTGGGTGCTCGCTTCGGCAGCACATATACTAAAATTGGAACGATACAGAGATTAGCATGGCCCCTGCGCAAGGATGACACGCAAATTTGTGAAGCGTTCCACATTTTTTTAAAAAAAACTGCTGGGAATATTGCATTCAATTCTTCCTACAGGTGTATGTTTTATTTAACTGTTGCAGTGTTGGTGAATGTGTTACATTTTAAGATATGCAGATCTGTGATCTAAAATGGTCATTCCCTTTGCCTTCCCACCCACCCACAGTAATGAAATTTCCAGGTTTTACATTACCCTGCCAGCACATGTGATGGTTATTTTTTTAAATAGTAGGCCAGGCAATGACTATACTGTTAACTTGTTTTTGTTTAATAACATTTCCCTAACAATTCTTGATGGTGAGCATTTCTTCTTGCATAATTTACACTGTCTTTATCTCCTTTGTTAAAATGTCTGCTCAGGATCCTTTGTCTACTTTTTAAGTTAATTTATTATTCTTACCAATAGGAGGACAGTGCAGCATCTAAGACATGTGTTTGAGTTTCACTCCTTCCTCAATGACTCAAGTGACTTCTTTGCCATATGGAACCATTGGTTTTCAATTCTGGAAAGAAAATTGTTTTTCTCAACTTTTATCCTATGGACAATTAATAGCCACTCATGCCATACACTTATAAGTTTAATCTGCATTATTAATATTCTCCACCAGTGTTCTTTAAGTCTAAACATATAATAACACATTAAGTGAAGTCTAGATTTGTAGTATTTCTCAATTTCCCTGGTGTAAATACTCTCATCATCACCAGGTTCAAACTGGCAAAATAATGACATGGAACATGGACATGGAAAGATATTTCAGTAGTACATCGTTATATTCTATTTTCAGCATACTGATACAGTAGCAGTTAAAATGCTCAAGAAAACTTACAATAAAACAGCTGAATTATTGGGAAGTGGCAAGTGTTAAACATCTTTTAAAGTTTGATAAAAGTGTAATGATTAAAGTGCTATTTGATTTTAAACATTTATACACATATATTAAAATAGTTTTATTGATTTCAGAGAAGAAGGGAGAAAGATGGAAAGATCAATGATGAGAGATAATCATTGATCAGATGCCTCTTGCATGCTCCTACACTGTGTATCAAGCCTGCAGTCCTGGCTTATGCTCTGACCAGAATCTAACCTTGACTTCTTGGTTCATAGTTTGTACTCAACCACTGAGTAATATTGGCCAGGCAAAAACACACTTTTTAACAAACACTTTTATGTTTCCATACATACCTGTCTCCCTGAAACCAAGTCCTCCCCTTTTCAGTGCTTCCTGATTGGAATAGGGTATTACTGCTGCAAGGACATAATCTACCTTTGTAATAGCATATTTCAAATATACCCATATATAGAAAACACTTACGAAACTTCATGAATTTTAGTCTGGTCTTCCATCACTGTCTCTCGTCCCAGTGGTTCTGGTATCTATCTCTTCTCAGATACATTAATTATTTTACTTAAAACCCCTGATAAGTTTTTCCCTGGCCAGAGAGCTCAGTTGATTAAAGCATCATCTTAATAACGCCAAGGTTGCAGGTCCCATCCTCAGTCAGGGCCCATGGAAGAATCAAGTAATGAATGTATAAAATTAGTGGAACAACAAATGGGAGTTTCCTCTCTCTCTGTATTCTTCTATCTCACTCTAATCAATATATTTGTGTGTGTTTTCACCAAATGAGTCAACACATGTGAACACCATCCAGACCAGGCAGGGACCCTGTGGTGAACCAGCCATAAGGGTTCTCATGAGGGCAGAGCACACAGTGAGGGAGAGAACAGGAGGGGAGGGGCCCTGCTGTCAGTGTGGAGGGTGGGGAACGGGCTGAGCTGCACAGTCACCCACAGGTAATTATGACATCTGTGCTCCCTGAGACTAAACCCTAAGGGGCTGGGAAAAGCTCTGGGCCTAGACATGGGCCTTGTGGTCTCAGCACCTTCCAGCCAGGGGTTGAGACTGGGCTATTTTGGATTCAGGTGGGGGAGGAGCCCAGATCCCTCTCAGGTGTTCCGGATCAGCTCCTGATACTTGAGGCCCTCAAATCAGCTCACCGACCTCTGAGCA